GAATCCCATAACACCGACGTCTTCCACAGACTCCTCCCGTCCAATTTTTACTTGGTGGCGGTAGGCTCCTTTCAGCGCAAAAACTCGCCTCTGGGGGAGCCAATCCTAGTGTCGGCGCGCTGGCGCGCGCTTTTTCCCGGGCTCTTGCGGCCGGTACCAATTGCCTCGATCACATTCATTGTCATCACACGAATGACCAGCTCGCGCTGTCATGTGACCACTACACGGGCGTGTTCCCCTCATGTTGTAAGCTGCCCGCGGTGGTGCCGGTGGTCCCGGGCTCCGGCAGGGATCATAATCCGCGTCACGTGACGCGGCCACGGCCCGCCGATTACATGCGCCTCTTGCCGGCGAAGGGTCTGGGTGTGGGTTCCAGGTAAGGGGTGTGCCAGTGGACCGACTGGGCGCGCGCTGTTCATCCGACACCAAAACTGAGACTGAACGAGTGCTGCTCGAGAGGGTGGGTGGGGGTGGGAGTGGGGGTGGGGGTGGGGGGGGGGGGGGGGGGGTTGGGAGCGCATGACCCGGTAAGCTGCCGGAGCGGCCGCCTTCCTGACCTGTCAGCTTCACAGCTGTATAGTCCATACTTGTACTAAATGTTGATCCTTGTCACGTAAAATGCTCCGCTTTCTCCATAATTGGACGTTATCTGTGTAACATAAATTCAAATGATTAGCATTTCTCTACAGGTGTAGGGCTCTAAAGCGATAGTTCAGGTTCAGGTCTATCGATTAACATATTTTGAACACGAGATGCTTGTGGTTATCCGTAGAAGTGAATAACCTCATAGCATTCGCCGTAAACCTTAGCTAATGATATAAAAAAAGAATAGCGACATGGATAAAACATGATATAAATGATAAAACATGACGTGATACAAAGCGACATAAGCTGATCAATTTTTGGGTAATTGCATAACATCCAGCCTCCTGTTTTGTGAATGCGTGAATGCCATTCACGCTCAGTTTCTCCAAGAGGTCGCATGACATTGAACGAATCGCGAACCCCTCTTAATCGAGCGCGGATCTTTTGTGCGCCCGGTTTGCGACATTTTGCGGTGAAAGTCTCCGTTTCGAGGGCACTCGTCGGCCATCTTCGCCGCCAGATACGACCATCGCCCCGACGTCCGCGGGTCTCGCGCTGAAATCTTTGTGTGGCTGCCCGGTAAAGATACGCAGCGGGGAAGAAAGGAAGAGGGGAGGCCCGGGATGAACAGCAAGCGGCTTAACGCCTGATATATCGCCGGGAAATGGCCATAAATTAGGCTCCGTTTCTCTCGTAGACGGAGGGTCGGATAGAATAGCGGGACCGCACTGTGTACCTGGTCTGCTGGCCACATCGCAGGATTAACAGATCTCCCAGCTCAATTTCATTAGGTGCGTCCAAGAACGGTAGAAATGTCGGGCATGTCATTGGTTAATAGAGCCCTCTTCTTATCATCTGTATGAGTGCAAATACGCTTTTGGGAAAATATACAATTGCAAGCGTATCAGCCAGCTTATTCGAGTGTTAAGCCAAACTGAGATGAGCCTGGGCTTTTCATCAACAACTTTCAAAGATACTGGCATAGTTTGGGTGGTCTTGCACCGCCCAGGACATTTTAAGCATTTTTCGACCAAACTGTATCCGCGTCATTTAGGTCAAAGTCGGTGGCGGGTGGGATGCGCGATGAAGCGCGCAATTGACAGCCCACCTTGCCAGCAGCATGACGTGGGAGCAATATTGACATGACGTGAATGCATAGATCCATGTGAACACAATGACTTTACGTTAATTTGGTCTTTGACGCATCAACGCACGAACACACATCGACTTGAACATATTATCAATGCGTAGCACGTGACGGCGCATCCGCATGGCATGGAGGTATAACTCAAACAAATACGCTACGTCCACTGGCATCGATAAGGATCACGATGCGTCAGTGAGCGCAATGGCTGCGAGTTTCTCCTCTGAATAATAAGGCTCGCAAAAACAGCCGGTTTTTGATCTCGCTGCAGCACATTTTGTTGCACCTCGCCTTTTCGCCTGACATCTCAGTTGGATCAATCGCAACACCTTTCGACCTAAGTCTCACAAATCGTCCTCTCTCCGTCGGTGAAATAGCATTACTCCCTCATGAGACTCTGGACTCCCGTCCGGTCTCAGCCAGCCCGTGACCTCATTATGGGCTGACCCCGGACTCCCGTCCAGTCTCTGCCGTGCCCTCACCGGCAGCTCTCCGGTCTCTGCGTCCCTGCCGCCCTGCTCGGTCCCAGGCAGACCCGCCGCTGCTCCCATGGAGGTTGTGTAGCGGCCCCGGCTAAATCCAGTTGCGCCCGCCGCCAGCGTCGCCGTCGGATCGAGCCAGCATGATGCTTGCTCGGTCCGACGCTTCTGAAGGTTCTACAACAGCAGCGGTGTCTCTCGGCTTCATAGCGGTCAAGTGAGGCGCCTCTCGGCTCTGGAACGGTCAGGTGAGGCGCCTCTCGGCTCTGGAATGGTCAGGTGAGGCGTCTCTCGGCTACGGGACGGCCAGATAAGCTATCTCTCTGCTCTCGAATGGTCAGGTGAGATATCTCTCGGCTCCGTGCCGGTCAGGTGAGGCGTCCCTCGGCTACGAGACGTCCAGATAAGCTGTCTCTCTGCTCTCGAATGGTCAGGTGAGATATCTCTCGACTCCGTGGCGGTCAGGTGAGGCGTCTCTCGGCTACGGGACGTCCAGATAAGCTGTCTCTCTGCTCTCGAATGGTCAGGTGAGATATCTCTCGACTCCGTGGCGGTCAGGTGAGGCGTCTCTCGGCTATGAGACGTCCAGATAAGCTGTCTCTCTGCTCTCGAATGGTCAGGTGGGATATCTCTCGGCTCCGGGATGGCCAGGCGAGGCATATCTCGGCTGCGCGACAGTCAAGTGAGACGTCTCTCGGCTCCGTGACTGTCAGGTGAGATATCTCTTGGCTCCGGGATGGCCAGGTGAGGCATCTCTCGGCTACGCGACGGTCAAGTGAGACGTCCCTCGGCTCCGGGACGGTTAGGTGAGGCTTCTCTCAGCTCCCGGACGGTCAGGTGAGGCGCTGGGCAGCTTTATGCCCTTGCTCACCGACCCTTAACTGAAGGGGGGCATCAAAGCTCATCTTCGGGTACGTAATATAATGGTATGGAAAATATTGTGGCCGGGAATAACTGTAAATTTCTTTGAATAATTTACCAGCCCTTATGTTCAGGAGTCCATGCAAGATGCTCTTAACAAGCACTGGCTGATTAATTTCCGCCAGTAACTGCGCTGCCTGTGCTGAAAGCCGTTTCCCGGCACTAAGGAATGCTACCGTCGAATAATCGCATTGCCCGGCAGCCGAGACCTCTGTTTAGAGCACTAATAAGAGTACTGGTCACTAAGTCATCAGGAGCATCTTCCAAGCCGCCAGTGCCGTCGCTGCTAAGCCAGCCGACCCACAGCCAGCGGCTCACTCGGGCTGCTCGCTGGCTCCGCGCCCTCCACGAGCCACCTCCGCCGCACGCTCGGGCGGCCCGCCCACCTCAGGCGCTTACCCGGGCGACCCGCCGCCTCCGCGCCCGTCACGAGCTGCGCTTCGCTTGGGCGGCCCGCCGGCCCACGCCCGTCACGAGCCAGCTCCGCCGCTCACTAGGGCGGCCCGCCGGCCGCGCGCCCGTCACGAGCCGCGCCTCGCTCGGGCGGCCCGCCGGCTCCGCGCCCGCCTCGAGCCGCCTCCGCCGCGCGTTCGGAGGCACCGATTGATGACGATCGCCACGCGGCCACATCGCCGTGTGTACGGCCAATCTGTCGGGCCCGTGCGCAGTAAATTACCGCACTCTGTCTGGTAATGGCAGCCGGGCATTAGCGGGCGGGTCGGAGCTAGTCGCCGCCGCCGCGCTGCCGCCGAGCGCTTCCGGCTGGGGACGGCTGTACGAGCTTCCGAGCAAGGACTAGATGGGCCGCTTTCCGTCAGCGAAGAGGGCCACTGAATGCTTATCTTAGATTGAGGACACTATGGCGTAGGTAGCGTTTCGCTACCGTTGTGTGCGATCCCGTAAACACGCTGGCAGGAAGAACATCTACTAACGCATGTGCTGATGACCATATCGATTAGCATAGCTCGACTCCGTTGAGTAATAAGCATCTACGTGCTTTTGCAAACGTTATCATGCGCTTTGCATGAAACGACGTTTTGTAGTGGGAAATCATTCTCAGGGGACTTGTGGCCGATCAACTTGCACATTCCATCGTAATTGGCGCATTATCTTTTGCTACATAATGTCCACACTTGAGGAGAAGCACAGAACTGCAACATCTGACGCGCGATCTGAAGCTGTCGTCATATATGCTACGGCTGATCTATTTCATGGTAGCGGCGTCCGTAGTAGCAAAGTACGCCGCGTAAGCTGACACCGTGCTCGCCGGCTTCGTCATAATATGCCACCGAGTCCGTGTACGCCGCGTAGCTGTAGCTGCGTCCGTATCGCAAAGCACGCCGCGTAAGCTGACACCGCGCCCTTGCCGCGGGCCCGCGGGGACAGTTCACTCAATGATGATGATACTGCTCCCGTTAAGTACGCCGCGTAAGCTGACACCGTGCCCTTGCCGCGGGCCCGCGAGGACAATTCACTCAATGATGATGATACTGCTCCCGTTATTAGTTCAGATTGCTCTACAATGGAGAGTGGATGGAGCGAAGTCGACGGTCCGTGCACGGCCGCTGCATCCACTGCGAGACCATCAACGGGACGCGTCAACGCCATCAACGGGACGCGTCAACAGCACAAGAAACCGCAGTTCGCCGACCCTGGGCTGGGGCTGTCAGCTACACTTGCCAGCTTGTACAATCCAGTGACAGGCCGACGTCGTTTGACAGATTGCGGCCTGTTGGACCGGATTAACGCAGACTCGAATGCTCGGCAGCTATTTCAGAGGAATGTCGCGCCGTTGCCGCACGTGTTGGCAAAATCAGGAAACGTTATTTAAATGGCTTTAACATAGCATTGCTACAGGTCATCGCAGAGACAGAGATTTCATCCATGTATTGCGGGACGACATTGGTGGGCATAAAACGCCTCAGAAACTCCGACTCGTAAAAGGTAGCACACAGTGGTATACCCGGCACGACGCCACGGTCTGATGCCGCTCGCGAGAGCAAGATGGCGTATTATAGGAACAGAGGTGAGCAGCACGAGCCTCGACGTTCAGTTCGGTCGACCGGCTCGCACCAAAATATAAATCACACGTCGGTGATTGGTGACACTGGTGACAAGTCGGTGATTTGCAGACGCCGCCGACAAACTGAGCTCCGAAGTCCATTAGATGATGGTTCCGTTTTTAGGAGGTGATCCTTGTTCGCTAGCGGCCAGCTGGCTGGTCCCACGTGCTCTGCGCGCACATGAGCAGCTTTAGCATGCCCAGTGTCAGTCTGACGCAGACAGCGCATCTGCAGAGCGTCACGATTTGAGCCAGCGGCAAACAGCAGCCATAGGAGGAGCACGGCAAAAACAGCGCGTCTAACGGAGATAAACTGAGCCGTGATTGGCGCATCAGTCAGCGGTCTGCAGGCAAGGTCACAGGCCGTGCCGACTGGGCCTGAATGGAAGCGACGTGGGGAGGGGACGATAACGCGCCGATCCTCGCAACACGACCTCGCAATGCACATCACCCGAGTGTCGAGCGCAGCCGGGCGCCGGGCGTGAGCGGACACGAGCACTAATCATCAGCTGGCAGCGGGCATGTGAATGACTATGGAGTCGGATGCTCGTGGAAAAAGATATGGCGCCCTTATGGGTGTAGTGTATATGATGCATCTCACTGGCGCCTTACAAATCGCTCGTTCCGCACATTTATCAACAAAAACACGCTAAAGCGTTGGAACACCGCGCGGTGGTCGGTAAGCACATAGCTGGCAACATAAGTAGGAATAAAAATACCAGTTCCTGTACTTGCTCTTGCTCCACCGTCCGATCATATCAGACAGACGCAGGACACATTCTCGAGTATGTCTTCACCGGAGGATTTAAAAGCCTCTGCAAAAACACGTCCAACAGCTACACACTGCTATCGCTCCGCAATAAATCAACACCGATGTCCGCCGCTTCCAGAAGAAACCTGCCGGCAAAGCAGCGCAGAGCCGACGACTAGTGCATCCGAATAATCCACGGCGTTCAACCACGTGGCACGCGGGCCCTCAGCGTCCTGCCGCTTCGCCCACCTCCGACGGCCGCCAGCCGGTGGCGGCGGCGGCGCCTAGCCGTTCTGAAACTCGCCCAGCCGCTCATCGTCCACGAACGGGCTCTCGTCGCGGCCGTTCATCTCGTCGATGGTCGCGATGCGCACGCGCTTCTTGTTCTTGTTGACGTCCGCCTTCTGGTAGACGTCGGCGTCGTCGCGTTCGTCCTCGTGCGTGTAGTAGATGGCGCTGTGCCTGTTGTACACGAGCAGCGCCAAGATGACGGCCGTCAGCAGCAGTAACGCCAGCACGCAGCCCACAATCACGCCCAGCTGCGAGGAGGCGGCCGCGTCCGGCGAGTGCGTCATCACGGCAGCGCAGTAGCGCTCGTGGCGGGCCTCCTCGCCGGTCGCGCCGCCGCCGGCCTCCCGCTGGCGCCGGCACCACTCCGCCGGGCTCTCCTCTGCCGCCTCACCGCAGGGCGGCAGCACCGTCTCGTTCAGCTGTTGCACCTCCACGCCTGCCATGCGCGGCGGTTGTGCGCACCTGCAGGGAGCGGCGTGGGATCGGGTTAGCCAGGCTGACAGCTGGCTCTGCAGAGGTCGGGAGCTGCTCGGAAGCGACAGTCGCTGGGGCTTGAGGCAGGCGCCGTCACAGGTGCGACGCAGCCGGCATAATCCAGATTGGGGGCAGCAACACGGGAACGATATTGCACAAGACATGCCACCGACATACGGAATGTGTAACGCCAGTTACTCATACTGCGTGTCTTCTCAGCTCTCACATATCAACTCGTCTTGCATACAATAGCTCGAAGGATATGCAAACACCAACAGGTTTCGCGGATTTTTGGCATGCGTACTCAGAGGCCCATTGGGCTCCGAGTCTTATTTCCTCCAATACAAATGTGCAAATACGAGACAAGCCGCAATTACATTCGCTGATCAAACGACATCCGATTCGCTGCACGACATCGAATGCCCCTGGGCGCACAGTTCGCACCACCGCCGGCTCACCGCAGGCAAGGGGGCTGGGCTCGGGCACCACTGACAGCTCACCGTAGGCAGGAGGCTGGGCTCGGGCCGACACAGCCGTAGGCGTACTCGGCGGCGCGCAGCCAGGCCAGCAGCGGCCGCACGCGGCACGCGTCGCAGGCCCACGGGTTGCCATGCAGGCGGACCTCCTCCAGCCGCTCCAGCTGGCGCGCCACCGGCACCGACAGCGCCGACAGCTGGTTGTCGCTGACGTCCAGCTGACGCAGCCGGCGCAGCGGGCGCAGCATGTGCTCCGACAGCGACAGCAGGTAGTTGGCCGACATGTTGAGCGTGACGAGCTTAGGCAGCGACGCCCACAGGCTGTCAGACAACGAGAGTACGCCCATGTCGGCCAGGTTGAGGTGCTGCAGGCGCGGCAGGCCGCCGCCCACCGCCTCCACGTCACGCGGCGCCATGTCGTTGCCGGCCAGCGAGAGCCAATGCAGATGGTCTCCGAGCGGGCGCAGCACGGCCGCCGTCAGCGACGACAGACCGTTGTACGAGAGGTCCAGCCGGCGCACGGTGACGTCACCGAACACCCCGGCCGGCAGCGTCGACAGCTGGTTGCGGCCGAGGTCCAGCTCGTGCAACCGGTGGCCGCTGAACGGCAGCGAGTCCACCGACGAGAAGTGGTTGCCGGCCAGGAGCAGCCGCTTCAGGTGTCGCAGCTGGGGGGGGGGGGGGGGGGGCCGGGATGAGCGAGCGCTTCTGGAGGGTGTTTGGTAGCTGCTCCAGTGTAACGTTCTCCGAGTGTACACGTGCGTGTGTGAAGCGTGAGAGCACATCACACGCTCTCCTTGGAATATTCAATACTTGCCATGCTGAGAATTCCCCAAGACACGAAACCTCTGCGCGTAAATATGACTTTTACTGATGACTTATCCCGAGGCCGGCCGATGCTGAGAGCAGACTGCCGTAAGCAGCGCCCAGGCCCGCCCCTGCACGCTCACCTGTTCGTATTCGCCGGCGCGCAGCGTCGACAGGTGGTTGTCGCTGATGTCGAGCACCTCCAGCCGCGGCACCATCTGGTAGAAGCGCGGGCTGATCTTGGTCAGGTCGCAGCGGGCGCAGCGCAGCTCGCGCAGCTCGCTCACGTCCTTGAACACGTCCGGGTCGAGGCCGGCAGGCGAGTTGCCGCTCAGGTCGAGCTGGCGCAGCTCGGAGAGCCGCAGAAACATGCTGGGCACCAGCTCGGGCAGGCTGTTGTCCGACAGGTTCAGAGAACGAAGCTGCGGCGTGAACTGAAACGCACCGCTGGCCACAGCGCCGATCCTGTTGTGCGACAGGTCCAGGTGGCGCAGGTTGCGTAAGCCCTTGAAGTGGTTCTGGTACAAGTTGGTCAGCAGGTTGTGCGAGAGGTCCAGTTTGCGTAGTAGACGGAGGCCGAAGAAGGAGTTCTCGCCGATAGCTGGTACTCCTGACTGGGTGATGGTGATCTCCTCCATGAAGGCCCTGAACCGTTTGAAGATGGGTCCGATCGTCAGCTGGTTGGGGTTCCACTCCGGCGCCGTCACCACTAGCACCTGAGGCGATCATGGCAGCGATGTTAACCTCGCTGTAGCTGCCTCAGATGATAGCTTTGTTTAAGGTTGTACAGCAGGGCGTCAAGAGCAGAAGGCTGTATGCCACGCATTCCACTTGCTTGCGCCCAACCCTTCAGTCTATGTTCAACACTACAATGCAGAGGCTGAGTTAGTTCGGCCGGCCGACACTGGACAAATGCAGCGCCGTCCTATCTGAACCGATTTCAGGGTTTAGTACGGAATAAAAATATAAAATGTAACATGTAAAGGCGGTTCTTCTGGTAAAAGCGAATACTTTAAGACTACTAACACCATAAATAGCGTTGTCGAGATTGTTATCTTGATAAGCAACATCGACTGGGTAGTATTATCGCCAATTACCGCTCAATAAGTGGTCTGTCCTCACACTACATCCGACCAAACCACCACTAAGTAACTTAAACTATAAAACTGTGAGCACGCCCATCCCATTCACTGAGGGCTATCAACTCCCAGTTGGCCTCATTACTTCATTTGTACCTCATGTACAAAAACGGCCTGGTCCGATTGGTGGCAGCGCTGACTGCGCCCCTCGCTGGGAACAGTGAGACCGGATCGGCTGCCCACCATCACCATTGCTGTGTCCGACAGCCAGAACCGAGTCGGTCACGTGATCACGGCGGCCCGGTCACGTGACCGGACCGCCGGTGAGCTGATCGCTGGTATCCGGTGCGCTCGCCGGACACATGATAACCTCAGCCAGTCATGCGGCAACGGACGCCACCGCCGCCGCCGCCGCCGCCACCACGGCAACAGCGAGTCTTCGCTTGTCATCGCTCGGGGTCCGATGGACGCGCTCTGGGCGGACCAGGTGTCCAAACCACCCCGGGCCGGCACGTGTGGGGCCCTGACATACCGGGCGGACCAGGTGTCCAAACCACCTCGGCCGGCACGTGTGGGGCCCTGACATATCGGGCGGACCAGTCACCATCGGGCAAGCGGGTCCAGTATGTACACTAAACAGGCACAGCAGGGCGGACAGCAGGCCCAGCAGGGCGGACAGCAGGCACAGCAGGGCGGACAACAGGCGCAGCAGGGCGGACAACAGGCCCAGCAGGGCGGACAGCAGGCCCAGCAGGGCGGACAACAGGCCCAGCAGGGCGGACAGCAGGCACAGCAGGGCGGACAGCAGGCCCAGCAGGGTGGACAGCAGGCACAGCAGGGCGGACAGCAGGCCCAGAAGGGCGGACAGCAGGCCCAGCAGGGCGGACAGCAGGCACAGCAGGGCGGACATTAGGCACAGCAGGGCGGATATGAGGCACAGCAGGGCGGACATTAGGCCCAGCAGGGCGGACATTAGGCACAGCAGGGCGGACATTAGGCCCAGCAGGGCGGACATTAAGCCCAGCAGGGCGGACATTAGGCACAGCAGGGCGGACAACAGGCCCAGCAGGGCGGACATTAGGCCCAGCAGGGCGGACAACAGGCCCAGCAGGGCGGACATTAGGCCCAGCAGGGCGGACACGCCCGTCATTAGATACCTAGCTGCACCTACAGATATCTCCTCGGTGTTACAGATATCGGCCTTGGTTCAGACGACCCACCTCATGAAGGGATCGCTAGAAGCTACGATCCAATGATGACGATAAAAAACAACAACTTGAATTTATCTGAATATGAAAGCTCGATTTTTGTGCTGCATGTTCAAACCGCATGTTTGGACCAACACAAATGCTTGGTCCAGCGGCTTGGTCTAAGTACTCCTCAGATCCTACGTGGCGAAATTTCAGTCCGGCAACAACTTCGGTATTTTACGAACTGCGAATACGTTTATTACTACTTTTAGCCCCACTGTTATTGCAAGTCGGAGTCAAAGTCGGATGGGGACAAAATCAAATGGCAAACGATATCTGTGGTTGAAATCACCGAGAAGACGTTGAAAGACATCTCGCACGCCACGTTAGAGTTCACACAACACACTTCAAAATAATCGCAATTTTTGAGCGACCTCAGGGCAATGCATCCTCTCTAGCAGAAGCTTATTACCAGACGGAAGGGGCCGTGCACATACGAATCACAAGATTTAGCAAGCGTTGAGGGTAATACCAGGGCAAGGTCGTGAGAGGTAAACTTTTTTGTCCTTCCGCCTTATGCAACCTTTCGGTTGACAACGGTTTAAAAAATGTATTTGCTATAACGGCATAATTATCACAAAGGGACGACACAAGTACCCTTAGTTCGAAGCTCGCCGGTTTACCACTCCCCCCCCCCCCCCCCTCCCTCTCCTCCTTTGACCGCTAGGGATCACCCGTGATCTCGTGCACATCGAATGGCCCTGCCTGGTAAGCAGACTACGCGATAACAGACATGACAACAAGCCAGAGCAAGAAAGGAGACGGCAAACTGCATCATGCTTAAGTAAGAAGTGCTGTGCGGTCCGTCATCAGTAACGCTACACCTTCGTGAGCTCTGCCAGCATCGAAGACTGTGTCCCTCCAGAACGTGCTAAATTTACCACCTGGCGGGTACGGACAATGTGGTGGATGTAACTGGAACGATTCGGGAGCTAGTCTAGAAACTCGGAAGGGAGTTGCCTTCGAACTTCCTAGGCTTCCGCGGGTTCATGACTGGATAACACACGTAGTGACAGTGTAATATGCAGAGCACATATTCATAGCGAGTGTATTGAACTTCAGCACGTGTGATCGAGAATTAATACCGAGAACTCCTCGGTCGATATCTTATTCAAAGCCAGAGGCCCAATCACCAGGAACTCGACGAGGAATCCATACAATGGACCTATCTTGAACGGCGTCACCAGCCATAATGAAATTGGGATTGCAGCTAGATCAAAGGGCGTATACTCCCCATGGCACTCTCAAGAACCGATTTCCGAAAATGCTTTCGAGCTCTTTTACTCAGCTAATTCCTCTTAATGGCCTCCAGCGAAGCCATGCGCGCGTCGATGAACCTGATTATGAAGTGATGAAGTCTAAATACGTGTTTATTTGCTCGACTCACGCGTGACACAATTTAAAAGATAGCGCGGTGTGCGTGCGGATGACGACAACCATCTACAAATAAAATATGCACAAGCCAGTACGCACTTAGGATGGGATGGATGGAACATGGAAGAGAGGATTCGAACCCGCAATTGCAAAATACCGATTGCAGCCCTCTTTTGGGACTGCACATGGATTCTAAGCCAGTTTAAAAAGAGGGACGTTACTGAATACCGAATTTCAAGTTATTCTAGCTTTGCAACCCAGTCTATATCGCAATCTTCAATCAACAAAAGATCCCTTTCAACACTTATGAATAATTCTATCTCAAAGCAATATAACTCTGATCACTCGATCGTCGCAGAACTTGTCCGACCAAAAACCCAAAATGTTTCATGTCTAACCATGTTAAGGTTACAATTTCCAGTGCTTGCATTGATAGCGCTGTACGCTATTATCCATCGCGCAAACAACAAATTTTGAGCGAGCGTCTCGGTCTCGATTAAATTTATTATTAAATTAATTAAATTCTCTGGTCTCGATTAAATTTAAACCTGTACAGTTTGATGTCGTCAGGACCGTAGCTAGGCTGTACGTTTTGCATCCAATTTTGAAGCTTTCAGATGGGTGGACCACAAGCTACCGATATCTACACCTTGCGTTTGCGGTATCACATATCCATCGTGGCATTAAACGCATTCAGCAGTCACGCAAAATTCAGAGGAATTATCGCATCCGATCAACGAATGACACTGAACATTCATCTCTTGCCAACGAAACTGTTCCACTCTTAAATGAGTTGCGTTACTTATCTGGCCAGGGACAACAGCGTCTCCAGCGTCAGCGGGCTGTCGCTCTGTCAAAGCCTGCCTTGGTCCATGTTCTCAGCCCTTCACTCAAGTGAGGCACTCGGAATCGTCGCACGGCCATACCAACCAGCACGTTCAGAGGACAGCTCGATCTTCTTCACCTGCGCGCTCAGAGGACAGCTCGGCTTTCCTCACCTGCACGCTCAGAGGACAGCTCGGCCTTCCTCACCTGCGCGCTCAGAGGACAGCTCGGCTTTCCTCACCTGCACGCTTAGAGGACAGCTCGGCTTTCCTCACCTGCGCGCTCAGAGGACAACTCGACCTTCTTGACCTGCGCGCGCAGATGACAGCTCGGCTTTCCTCACCTGCACGCTCAGAGGACAGCTCGGCCTTCCTCACCTGCGCGCTCAGAGGACAGCTCAGCTTTCCTCACCTGCACGCTCAGAGGACAGCTCGGCTTTCCTCACCTGCACGCTCAGAGGACAGCTCGGCTTTCCTCACCTGCACGCTCAGAGGACAGCTCGGCTTTCCTCACCTACGCCCTCAGAGGATAGCTCGGCTTTCTTAACCTGCGCGCTCAGGGGACAGCTCGGCTTTCTCGACCTGCGCGCTCAGGGGACAAATGGGCTTTCCTCACCTGTACGCTCAGAGATGCTCTCGGTCTTCCCTGTGCGCTCAGAGGCGTCCCTTCGGTCATACGCACTCGGTCTTTCACAACTGCGCGTTCACATACACCCATTCGGTCTGACACACCTGCGCTTTCAGAGCCGCCCCGCCGACCATAGCCATCTGCACGCTCAGAGGTGCTACTCCCTCTTACCGACCTGCGCGCCCGGAGGCGCCGCTCTGGGTCCCTTACTCACCCGGGTGTCGATGTCCATGTAGTTGAGGAAGGAGGGGTCGGTCATGCCGCCGCTCTCGCAGCTGACCCTCTTGCGACCGAGCCCGTCCGGCCGACAGGAGCAGCTGGCCGGACACCGGGTCTGACCGCAGCCGACCGCGATCAGGCAGCAAACCAACAACGGCAGCAGCATCTGCAGCGACGGACACGCTCCGTCAGTCCCCAGCCTTCCGCGCGGCCAGGCCATGCTAACACACGCTGACCGGTGCGGTCGCCTACGATGGCATTCGTGTTCGTACTGGCGAAGGTTGGTGCGAAAGATCAAAACGTGTTGCAGCAATTCACAAACCTTCTGAAACAGAAGATTTTTCAAAATGCGGACGTGAATGTATCTAAGAGGTTCACGAAGAGTAAAAAGCGAATACCAGCATCTAATTTGCATAAACAAATTACGAAAAAGCATTCGCAGCTGCTTGCAAGATGCTGTTCAAGTACGCGCGGGTGGGGCTCAGAATTTGCAGATTCTACTTCAGTCTCAGACCTTATGAGAGGAAAGCTATTAAACTCACCAATAATCCATTTTGCTTGGGTAAAATTCTATCTTAAAACATCTGACTGTTCGTATTCCGCCTTCTGTCCCTGCCGCACCTTCATTAAACGCTGTCGCCACGATGCTGGTGTTCGCACTGGGCAGGATTATTTCACAATCAAAGAACCGCGTCCCGCTTTCCGCCGGCCTGTGTGACCCACTGAACATGGAGGCCCCCTGTTTGAGTCGTGAGATCGAAAATCATATTGGACTTGCAACGTTTGCGTCTTCATCCATCGCATGTTTTGTCTTTTTTGACTTTATCAAAACGATGGCACTCTGATAAAAGAGCTCACCCAACAGGCAGGAGCCGTTAACGGAGCTCACCCAACATACGGGAGCCGTCAACGGAGCTCACCCAACAGACAGGAGCCCTCAAAGGAGCCCATCCAACAGGCAGGAGCCGTCAACGGAAACGCAGAAAAAGCAAACAATGCAATGCTGTTTATGTAAACCAGCACCAAGATGGACGCTCCACTCTAACCTTCCACATCAACTGTTCCCACGTCAACTTTCAGCTCTGATCAATTTTGCTTAATTCTTGCAATAACGTTCCATATCTGCGGAATTGATCTTTAATTAATCTTCTAAAGGTAGGGGTACGACACAGTTTGTACCGCAACGTTGCGGTTTGCAATAGCAAACATCGATCTTTCTCCATCCAAATTAGACAACTTGCCAGTCAAGACCAAAACAGTTGTAAAACTGCAGAGAACTACTTCAGAGAACTACAGAGAGCTGCAGCTGAAAATAAGCAGCCTTCATTTTAACGTTAAAATATTCCGCATCGACCCAGCAGTTTATGAAGCCCCTCAGGACGTGGTTCTCAGCACTAGCAACATTGATCCAGCCCTCAGGAGCGTGCAATGTAGCTTGAATCATGGCGCTGCTGGACGCTTCAGGAGGCAAAACTGGCACCGATGATGTTGCATTGACCCGCCTGACCCCAGAAGGCGTATTATGGATCCTAAGTGGGTTTGGGAATGATGGGCACGTTTGTCGCGGTTCAAGCGAAGGTCACGTAGGTTGTCCTCGCAGGGGAGCTTTGATCGCAGTCTCTGAAAGCCACGACATAAGAATACGTCGCCACGACTCCCTCAGATCTAACAAGGGGCGTGTAAAGCGCATATGTGAATCACCATGTCATGTAAAGATGGACTGAACGTCAGTATGATACGATGGCTTGACAAGTCGCGGGCTTTCATAATTGCCTCCGAAGTAAGTATAAATAAAGCAAGGCCTACAGCTTTAGGCTCCAGCCATAGAGTGCTGTAATTAGCATTGCTGCGACAAAGGTATATTTCTGGTATTCAATCTATAATAAGAGCGACACTTCCCCGAATGATGCGGAGGAAACAGCAGCAATTCATAAAAAATACACGTGTCGCATACATAGGTCTATCGTTCAAATCCCGAGTTATTGTGGAACTTTTCAAAGCACAAAAATGAGGTTTACGTAGCTACATCCATGCCGCTGCTATTCCAGGCGGCCAGTCCTGTCCACATTCAGCTACGCATGCTTCAGCGTATCGCGGTGACCGATACAGAGATGACCCCCCCCTCCCCCTCCCCCGGGTGAACCCCAGTGCTGCCGCTGTGACTCCGACACCGTCACAGTGTCTCCGACGCCGCTGCTGTGATTTTAGGTCGGGCCGGCGCACCAGACAGTGCCGGCGAAAACCTAACCGGGGTCGCAGTGACCGTGCCTGGGTCAGTGTCGCCAATGGAGCCGCCTCACCGGAGTGACTGACTGCTGTTGCGTTAGGGTGATCTCGTCAATGGGGCCGCGACACCGGGATGGCTGCTGTCGCATCAGGGTGACTACATCGGAGCCGGGACGCTGTGACAGTGTCGGGTCCCCCCTCCCCCCCCCGCGCGGCAATCTCCGGCATGTGAGGCGGACGGCCGCGGAGGCTGTGAGATCCCACCCGCCACCGAGGCGCGGTCGAAGGCGCCCCTTCCCCAGGGGCGACTTCAAGGTTGCCGCCGGAATCGGCGTCGGCGTCGGCGTCGGGATCGATGCTGGCTCCCCAGCGCCGCCTGCCGGCAGCGCGCCTAACCGATGCCGTCCTCCGTCCGGGCACTCCGACCACAAGGCTATGTGGCCGTGATTAGTTGGGCCTTGGCTCTTTACTGACAATGTGCGCAGCCTGGCGGAGCGTCGTGCTCCATCCGCCTCCCCGCGCCTCAGCCTGGCGGCCAGCCGTGCCGCCGGCGCCGCGCGACAGATGCGCTCCGTCCGCCTCCCCGCGCCCCAGCCTGGCGGGCGCCCCCCCCCCCCCCCCCCCCCCACTCGCGCCCCTCCAGGCAACGTGTCGGCGTCACGGCAGGCCACGTCGCTACTCGACCGTGGGCGCTGCATGGTGCCGTTTGAAGCTCGGTGTGTCTCGTAGGATGCGCCACCGACGCCAGCACGCTGACGCGCGAGGGGCTCTCCGGGGAGCGGCGGCAACTGGCCGAGCTACAACAGTGTGTGGGCAGCTGGCCGAGCCACAACAGTCTGTGGCTAACTGTGATTTTAAACGTCAGCTGGTCGTGTTTCGGCAGACAAGGAATGTTTCAGTGATACCAGAAAGCTACGATTTAGAACTGCATGTACCATTTTGCAACACTTCCGGGAGCATCCCAACGAAAGCTGTGGTGACCGTTGCTTACAGAAAACAACAACGGGTTCACAGCCCCAACGGAGTCCAAATCATAGCGATTCATGCCTAACTTCAGTGTCGCGCTGGGCGGACTGGCCGAACAAAGCACGATACAAAGTATTTATTCCTCCTCCTCTCGATCAAATCGAGCGTCATCTCAAAGTGTCAGTCCACGTGAGCGCCTCGGCTCCAATCCGCAGTGACAGCCTCTCACACTCGCTCACAATGGGGCTCCCGGGGACGTCACAGGCCATCTCGAGAGGCACAGCCCAGAGCTGTCACCCCGGACCCCGGTCGCGTGTGACGTCATGCGATGTCACCACGCCATGTGTTCCGAGCTTGCCCTTCCCCTCGACGCCAGGCGCGCCCTTGGGTCTGACGGTGAGGGGGGGGGGGGACACGGCACAGCTGCCGAAATCTGGGTCCGGGACCGATTTAACACGCGCCACAATCGACCATCAGCACCACACGACAGTGTGGAAAGCGGGCGAGGGCCTCTCTCCCGACTCACTGCGCCACGGAGCAGACAGGAGAGCAGGCACTGAGCCCCTTTTGGCTCATTGCACTGCGAGATAACGAGGGAGAGCAGGTGAGGGTCTATTTCCTGGCTCATTATGCTACTTAGTAGCGAGGAAGAGTACGTGAAGGCCTCTCTCCCGGCTTACTGCACCACAGGACGAGTGAGAGCAGGTGGGGGAGGGGGGTCTCTCTCCTAGCTCACTGCACCACAGGACAGCGAGGGGGGCCCTTTTCTTGGCTCTCTGAGAGACGTAGGTACACTGAACAGCAAGGGGGAGTGGGTGGAAGGTTTTCTCATCGTTCCCAGGATGACAAAAGACGCCACAGAGAGTGGTCGGCTCTGATGGAGACACAAAGGGAGATGATGGAGCGGACAACACTCATCAGAGCAATTTTTCAGCACTTCTGGAAAATGATGCACGGCGATAGACGAGCAGACCGTCTCCGCATATATAACGGAGTCGGTTTCCAGGCGGGCACAGCAACGAAACACGACGAATCCGGATGCCACTGACAGACCCTCTCCCGCTAGAGGGAGAGCGCTCTGCTGCGATGGCGCTCTCGCTAGAGGGAAAGCGCTCTGCTGCGATGGCGACGGCCAGATAGCGATCAGGCTATTGTAACACGACTGGAGTAGAACTGGAGCATGTGTGTTATTCTAACTTATTTAATTATCGTGTCCGACGCCCAATCATGGGTAACCGCGCCGTTTACTGGGTTAGTGACCTCACACCAGACGCGAGGGCTCGTGACCCAGCCTGGACTGACAAGGTAAAAGTTGAACAAACTTGGCCAGCACAGCAGCTCTTTAAATCTAAGGTCTTGGGAAAAGTTGGTCATTACACAGCGGGAGCTATACACGGGAAACCTCTCAGCAGGTTCAACAGCCAGTCGCAAGGGCTCGCAAACGCGTAAAATGGTGACAGATTCTAAAACAAGGCATTAGTTGGCATGAAATTACAGCAAGCCATGATAACTCGACACATAAAGAGGTTAGTATGAAAGGCGCGAGAATTATCAGGTTATTGAGGGAAATGGACTTGACCCCATGCCCCCTCAACAGTTGATGTTTAAATGCACTTACGACAATTCCAAGGAACGTATGAATTTTTTTTCTTCATAATTTGCACGGATAAAATGCACTACAAAAGATCAATGTACGCCACGTAATGAACAACGCTCACCTGCCCAAAATAGTCTCACATGAATCGGGATAAAACTCATTTCCAGCAACGGAAGCAGCGTTCCCGCCAGACAGCTCGTAGACTCCTGACAGTCTGCCTGAGGTCCGGTGCTGTATAAAGCCCGACTCTTCAGACAGTTTGCAGACTCCTGACAGTATGCCAGAGGTATGGTGCTGTATATGGCCCCACTCTGTCGCTGGTCAGGAGTCATGGAGGCAGGGGGACAAACGCTGTCTGGAAGGCCATATGAAAGA